AAAGCAAAGGTGCTGCCTTTTCAAGTTTGATGCCTTTCTTCTGCAATCATTAGCATTTATGCAACTCTTGCAATATGCCAGGCACTGGGTGAAGTACTTGAGAAACATTCTTTCCTCTGCTTCTCCACTAGTTCCATATAGGTATTATTTTATAGATGAGGAAACTGAGTCTCAGAGAGACAAAGAAAATTCCACAGATCTGTAAGTAGCAAAGCAAAGTTAGAATTCTGCTTTTTTACAACTATTTAAAGCCCTAACCTAGATCCTGAGGGAAAAAGCAAGAGGTGGATTACTCCAGGACAACAGAGTGCAAAGTAAATGTTAGAAGTTATTCTATGGCCTAGGAGCACATGGATTAGCAAGAAGTAAAACAGTCTATTGTAATGCTGAAAGAAATGTCAAAGATAGAGTTGAGTGGAATCTTGAAGTGATGAATCCATCGGGGAGAAAACTCATAGGGCAGAAGCCAGAAGATCCTGTAGGAACACATAAGTTCCCAAACTTTGGGAACACATAAGTTCTGAGGAAAGATCTGGAAAACACAAGAATGGGCCCAGCCAGATATTTATGCAACCCAGGACATCTTTTGTTTTCACTTGTCTTTACTAGCATAGTTTCCTTAAAGACTGGAAGAAAAGATAAGTATGGGATATGCTATCAGTGAACTATAACATTTATCAAAGAACTCTAGAGATTTGGGCTTTCTGCAAACCAACCCCGTTATTCTACTACAAAGTCATCACCAACTGCCAGGTTACAGCAGACACAACAGTTGTGGGAGAGACACAGTCATGGGACCTTGATACATGATTTTCAGAATGTCTTGATCCTTCTCTTTACTCTCCTAGATGTTTCTGTGGCGAGATGGCCTTGTCCTACCTGGATTCCAGAGATTGTCTAGAAATGTTTCCAGAATAGTGTTTGGAAATTCAAGTACTCTGTAAGAGGGGAAATGAGTATCCTTCCCAAGGGATATGTCCAAGATGTTGACAAGGCTAGTGGCTTGATAACAACCAGCACAGATGCCAATTACACTGCAGCAGACTGAAGAACACCAACTCCACACCTTCAGCATTTTCTCCTGACCTATCCTTGCTAACATGGGAGTTCTTTGAGGCAAAGGCCTGCAGTTTCATCTGCATCTCTCTGGTTACGCTCTGTGCTAGTCCAGGCCAGAGTTGGCCATTAGAAATATTAGTCGACTCTTTTTGGCTGTAACCAATTAATTCATTCACCCCCTCCCTAATTGCAGTGGGTGAGTTGCTCACCAGCTGTGATTACAAATTGGTTTTGTCTAGTTGACAAGACCTTATCAGTAAATTAAAATAAAAATGATCTAGTCTATAATACAGGAAGCACAATTAATTCTTGTATGCATATATGGGTTTCTGATGTAAGCAAGAAAATAATCGGCCCTGTAGGTCATGCCTATTCACCCTTCATTTGCCAAGAGATTTTATTGCATCCCTTATGCCATCTGGATTTGTCTTGAGCTTCAGTCTCATGGGAATGGAGGAAGATGGCTGCCAAGAGTGCCTTGTCACTTGCTAAAAGTACCCCATTCTCCTCTGCTGTCTTCACTAGACAATAACCACCCACGTACTTTTCCTTAAGAATTAAAGCCAATGTACCTGAAGGCTTATGTGCTGCTTTCCAACCTGCCTGAATTATCACAGTCAGCACAGGAACCACATGTAAATCACAGTTTTCCATCAAAAGTGGCAACTTTTGCAATTGAAGGATTCTTACATGGGACTTCAAGTATGTCACCATGATTATGGAAGGCCCCATATGTCTAGGCATGTTCTTTTTGCACATACCCACGGCAAGTCTAAGGTTCCTGAGATTTATTGCTGTTGCTTTTTTTAAATATATATATATGTGTGTGTGTGTGTGTGTGTATGCTGGAAGCTGAAGCATATGGTCCCACACAACTGTGATATTTACGATAATGAATCACAGATGTTTAAATGGATGTAATCTGAAAACACTTAAATGCTAAGATGCCAGAATCTTACTGCAAACATTGTAAAGTGAGGACCTTTGGATTATGCTGATTTTCAGATATTATTGCTAAGGAAATAGATTTACCTATCCTGGGAAATTATAAGGCATAAAGGAATGACCTATTCAAAATTTAGGTGACAGATCATCTACCACAAATATTATGCTAATTTGGACTCTAATCCAAAATGTATTACAACTACCTTTCCTCACACTGAATGGATAATATGTTTATATATTTTGCAAGCTGGAAAAAAAAAAGTAGTTGTAATTTTCATAGTTTTGTTGAATAATGAGATTATGTATTGTCTCATAGTGTTGGCCACTTTTATTTTCTTTCCTGTAAATTTCATGAGCTATAATGCATTAGGAATTCAAATTGTTATCGCTTGTTCCCTTACTCTTCTTACTAGACTGTACTTCAGAAGGAGGAACTGAGTCTCATCTGCCCTCCCTCTCTGTGGCTTCGCAGAGGCCAGGCAGGCATGGCATGTGGAAGGCACACAGGCTGGCATGCATGAGACTGCTGTCTCTTCCTGCTTCGGCACAACTGCTTTCTAGTGCCCTGCTTTGAAAGAGGAAACTCAGTTCAACTGCTCCTTCTCTCTCTCAGTCCCATCTCTACCTCTCCCTTACCAGAATAAAGACTCCACACTTGCAGGAACGTTGTCAGCCCAGGAACCCTTGAACGTCTGGCGTGAGCACAGACAGTATACACTCAGTAAGTAGCTCTTAAGTGCATCAGTCTTTGTCTGATGACCTGTCAGAGTGTTTCTACACAGATGGCACATGAGTAACCCACTTGGAAAGGTGGACTGGAGTCCTTGGAGTCCTATTTGTTTTACTGTCCATCTTCTGTGCTGATGTGCCAGGGGGAGGATTTAGCATGTGCTCTTATGGAGATTTTAACCCCATCTCTGTGGACCAGGGCTTGGTGTGTATGTAGGGCTTGTGATAGGGCTCTGTGATCATAGGGTTGATAAATGGTCTTCATTGCCCTGCTTGGTTTTTAAGAAAGCATCTGAGGAAAGACACACTGCCAAGTTGCTAGAGACTGAGCTGCTGGAACCATGAGTTGAATTCACCTGACTGACATGAAGATCTAAAATCAGGTGATAGAAACAAAGAGCTTGTGATCAGTTTATGAGCACGGGTCTCTCTGAACCAGGAGTAAGGGTGGTACAGCTTGTAATCCAGATTTGGTCCATGATCTGCTTTTGTAAAGAAAGTTTTCTTGGGACACAGCTATACTATTTGTTCACATGGTGTTCGTGGCTGCTTTTGTTCTACAACTGCAGAGCCCAACAGTGGTAGAGGGTTGTCTGGTTCACAGCCTAAGATACTTACTATATGACTCTGGACATGAATGTTTGTAGACCCCTGTTGCAGGCCATGGTCACATTTCTCACACTTTTCAAGAGATCTGCTTGAAACTATCTGAGCCCTAAGGCTCATCCACAACGTGTTTTGTGCACGCAGTTTCATAATCAGCTACGGAGACAATCAGCAGAGTAGGGAAAATGACTCACAAACACTTACCTAAATGTTATCTCAGTGCCTACATATTGCCTTAATTTTTGAAAAGAAAATCTGCTGGGAGATATTTTCCATTCAAAATGGAAACCTCAAGAGGTTTAACTTCTTAAACACACTTTTAAAATTCATTATCTGCAGTCATTAAATATATGGACAAGCACTCATGGAGAAGACGAATAAACCCAGAAGAGCAGGAGGGAATTATGTATATCTGTATTTTCTTACGTTGCTAAAGCAATGATTTAATTTAGAACCACAAAATTAGCTGAGAATCATGCTTTTGATCAAGTTCACACACAAAATTGTTTATCTTCAAGGTCTGTTTCCCACACTTAAAGTAATCTGTCATCTTTTAATGTGATTTGTCATTAAGTTTTGTTTCTTTTCTTATAAAGAGTCTGTCATTATTCTCTCCAAAATGACTAAATGTCTGATTTTCTGCACTCTATAAGTGAAGCCATTTGAAGATTTAGCTTCCTGGAAAATGAAATGGGAATTATCCAGCCCAAAGGTGGTATGGAAATAGTGATTTTATTTTATTTTTTTCATCTGATGAGGATTCGGCTCATTAGCAAGAAGCAAAGCACCATTTCTTTGGATAAAGGGCAACAAGAAAGAAATAAAAAAACCCTCAAATTGTCACAATAGCTCCATGAAGTTTGATGTTTTATACTGGAACATTGAAAAGGGAGGCCACTGTGTATTTTCAAATAACCAAAATTCCAATCAACTCAGATAAGCACTGCATTTAAACTACAGCACATATTTTCTCTACAATTTTGTAAGCGCACATCAGCTGGTTTCCCGGGTTCTTAGCCAATGTCTCTGAAGCCTGAAGTCATTGGTTTGAATTCTTCTCCAGCAATCAAAGGGTTCTGAGTGATAAGGACTCAGTTTTAGGCCAGGAGAGGAGTATAAAAGGGAAATTAGATGATATTAACTCAATAAGAGTGGGTAAAAAATAAAAAAAGAGAATTAGGGAGAGTCATTCAATTTTTGATTAGCGACAACATTGAAAATATTAATAATAGCTAAAAGGAATAGAAGGGTTGCTATGCTCAGCTCCAGCACTGAGGAAGGGGGTTCCAGCTAAGGGCAAGACCCATGGTTCCCCTGAGCCTCAAACCTCGGGTTTGAGTTTGGAGGGATAAAAAACAGTATTGTAATTAAAGGATTATGGATAGAAAGATTAATTGGAAGAAGACCAATTCAGGAACATGTGAAAAGCAGAATTGAGAGTTGGAGTTAGTTAAGACAGGGAAAGCTGCAGAGATGATGGAAAGTCATCAAAGTCTCCTTAAAATGCCTAAATCCTCACAAAGCTACCATGCATAGGAATGGGGTGTGTGTGTGTGTGTGTGTGTGTGTGTGTGTTGGGCAACCTAGAGCCACATATTATCTCAATACTTATTAATTTTTCACAACTCAGTTTGAGGCTAGTATTATTTCCTCATTTTAAGGATGAAGAAGTTGAGCCTAAGGGACAGCTCTGTGACAAGAATGCCTGTGAAGTCATACCCATGTGACAGGTAAAGAAGACCCTGGTCTCCAAATAAGCCCACCTCAGCAAACTGGGCCTCCATGATAATGTTGGGCTCCTAAGCAGAAGCATGTCAGCTCCTGTCCTTAGAGATAGTGATGCTTGTCAGGGAGTCAGAACTAGGAGGAATGCAGTTGAAGTGTGAACTAAGTTCTCTGGGGATAATAGAATAAGGGTCTGGTTTGAGTCTGAGCCATGGAAAGGCTTCACCAAACACCTGGTGTCTAAGCTTCCCCTGAGGAAGAGGAGAACCAAATCATTTTCAATTGACTGTAAGTAAGTTCTGCTATTGGTGACTGACATAAAACATGGACTGGTAGATTTCACCACCGAATGATTCTAGTCACAGATTCACAACTCATTTTTAACTCTTTTTTTTAATAAAAAAAATTACACAATGGAACCAAAAAAGGTAAATGCACATCATTTGTAGCAACATGAATGGAGCTGAAAGAGCTTACACTAAGTGAAATAAGCCAGATGGGGAAAGATAAATAGTGGGTGGTGCCGTGCATATGTGGAATATAGAAAACCAAGCAAAGGATGAAACAGAGACAAACTTTAAAACCAACCCTTGAAAACTGACCGTAGACCTTTGACATGCAGAGGGAAGGGAGAAGGGTGAAAACAGGGGATGGGGGCATGAGGAGGAAGAACACAATGGACTATGGTGGAGGGCTATGGGTTCTTTGGTGATGGGAGTTATAGTGACTATACCTGAGGGGGCATCCTATAATGTCAAAACTCTAGCAAGAATGTGAAATAATGGTACTTTAATAACAATACATAAAAATAAAATATGCAAATGGGATAAAAAAATGTATCTGCAATTTTGTAGGGCTCTGGGTAGCTACCACTAGACCCTTCATCAGCGCTGTTTGTAGCATGTCTGTCCATAAGTTGATGCTTCTGAAACTATTCTGAGCAACTACAAAGCACAACACAAATTTCAAAGTGAAAAGAAAAAAAAAATAGGCAGGAGTAATGAAATATGAGAGGGGATAGGATTCCTTTTGATAAAATTTGAAAAGGAGATAATAAATTAGGAGAAAGTATAAGGATAAAGATGGCCCTGTGATTTACACTCTGGAATTAAAACAATCAAAGAGGACAACAAACCCTCAATTTCCATTTCTGAAAATCAGTTATGAGTGTCTACAGTTGAAGTTTTCTCTCAGTTAACTTACACAGCAGGAGTTTTTACTGGCAGTAAAAATAGTATTAGCCTCCTGATCTTCAGTGTGTTTACTGTGACAATGTTAGGCATTGCATCAGCATCACTTAGGAGCTTTTTAGAAATGCAGATTAGTGGGCCCATTAGTGATCTACTGAATTAAAATGTGTTGGGGTGGAACCCTGCAATCTGTATTTGGACATGTGTTCTTATAAATGCAAACTCAGTATAATCTTTCAGATGACTGGGCAGCTATATGACTCAATGATTCTATTAAAAACCCATTATCCAGAATTAAATATGCACTAGTTGATACTAATTTAACAAAAAGAATATCCATTAATTATACAGACAGAGTGCCAGTTTTGGAGTCAGAATATAGAGATATTATGTAAGGTAAAAACTCAGCTGTAAGGGATTTTGCACAGAATCTCTGATACTCAATTTCCTGATGTGTAAGATGGGAATAATGAATTGTGAAGGAAGTTGTAGGTAATCAAGGTAACCTTATTGTCTAGAATTGTCTTAGGAAAACAGAATATGAAGCAAGTGTTACAATGGAAAACATCTACCTAGAATAGATGCACATTTAATTTTATTAAAACAATGTACTCAACTACAGTTGATATACTTGTCCATCTTTCTTAAAATAAACATCATCATCATCATCTAAGCAAATGAAAAAATAGCTCTTATTAATCCCCTGAAGTCAAAAGGGTTGTTTTTCTGTAATACTTTCTCCAGAAGGAGTTAGGTTTCTCTCAGAAGATGCCATGTAATGGATGCTAACTTCAAAGACTTCAATTAAATGTCATTTAATCTTTCTGTTTTTTTAATGAGGTAAACATGAAGCACAAATCTACAAAGTTGAAAGGCAGGAGGGAGGAGGCCTCATCCTGGCCAGACCACCATGGTGGTCTGCCTGGGCCTCTACAGTAGGTCCCTCAGTGTCCTCGCAGTCCCCACCATCCACATCTACCCCAGTGGCCTCAACTCAGCAAAGAGAGGTTCTGGGGACATCTGTGGGTTTATGTTGCCCCTCTACTTAAAACCATTTCATTTGGAGTTGAAGCAATGTTCTACTCTAGCTTATAGCACCCTAAAATCTAGTTCAGATTATGCATCACGTTCTTCGACTCCCAGGCCCATTCATTGCTGACTCACCAGCATCTAGCTTTCTCTCAAACACCCAGGCATATTCCTACCTCAGGGCATTTGCATTTTCTATACACTATACACTCTGCTTGCAATGCTCTTCCCCTAAATCCAAGGCTACCCCATCTCCTAACTTCCTCTAGGTATCTACTCAAATGGAATGTTTGTTATAGGATCTTTCTATCTAGCATGTCATTACTTTTCCATCCTGCAATTTGTTTATTCATTAGAACTTTCCATTATCACAATGTATTATACAGAACTTTTGTGTTATACTACTTACTGTCTTCTTCTTCAAGAATGTAATCTCTAGATCTCTCATGAAGTCTCAAAAAATTCCTGGCATATGATGAACCAATACATAGTGGATCATTTCAATGAATGGATTAACCACCTTTCTCATTCCTTTACTTAGCTAATGTCATCAACCAACCAGTGAATGATGAATGAAAATAGAGAAGTAAGTAGGGAGATAACCAATGGGAGAAAAGGAAAGATATAATGTGACTTCTTCTTGTTCTTTGACTAGGTATGGATATGGAAAAGAGAAAGAAAGAAAAAATTGAATGTATGAGTGTAAGACATTCTCCCCACAAGATATCTTTAGCTTGTCAGGAAAGTTTCTTAGTAGAGCTGAGCAGAGAAAAATGGAGTCAGAGCTTAGAACATGACTAGCTATGGAAGCATGAACAAAATAATCTACATTTTTTTTTTAAGATTTATTTATTTATTTATTTATTTATTTATACATACAAGCACTGGGTACAGTCAGAAGCGCGGGAGGGTGAGAAAATTCACCAGAGCCAGAGCGGGGAGCAGAGCAGGCAGAAGGACCGAAGTACACTCTGAGGGAAGCAGCGGGCGGCAGGAGAGGTCTGCACGCCATGTGGGACCCTCCGCTGGTGGCTGGGGAGCAGCCGGGGATTGAACCGGCACTGCAGAGGCTGCGGGCAGCTTCGCAACCCAGCGCTCAACCGCTGCGCCACTGGGAAGGCCCAAAATTATCTACATTTTTAAATTGTAATTTCCTCATCTGTGAAATGGGTTTCCTGTTGATACATAAAACTCATGGTACTAGGATGAAGGTTAAACAACAGTGTCCACAGAATGCTTGTTTTTGTGACTAGCACAGAGTAAAGGGCCAGAAAACACCACTGCAGCTAGCAATTTTGGAGTTTAAGGTGCTCAAATCAGCTGTTTTGGAGAAAATGGCAAATCAGATCTTTCCTACTTGAATGAATTCCAAGAACTAAAATTATTCTCCTCCAAATCATCAAAATATTGTATTGGGACAAAAACCAGTTTCTGAAAATAAAATTGTCATCCATTTGAAAAGACCAGTTATTTAAAAAAAAAAAACATTTTATTTATTTTTGTTTAGAAGAAGTGAGGTGTCAGCCAGAGGTGCAGGGGTAGGTGTGGTGGTGAGAGAATTCACTAGAGATGGGGTGGGGAGCAGAACAGGCAGATCCACTGAAATACACTGCTAAGGGGAGCAGTGGGTGAGACACAGGTCTGCTGTGCCATATGTTGGTAGTGCTGCGACTTAACCCCTCACTACCAGGGAGGCCTAAAAAGACCTGTTGTTAAGAATCAGTAATGGCCTCGCCTCCCAGGAAACTATTCATCCCTATTTTCTTCCCTTTTTTTTTTTTTTTACTTGGAGATAGGTTTATATTATATATATTCTAATTGGATTTTGATGATTTTACAAAAATATGTTATTGTTAACATTTAAATCTCTATAGTCTTTTAATCTTGTCAACGCAATTTTAAAATCTGAAAAGATCATAAAATTCCAGTGTTTGCCTTTCCAATGTTTTTCTTTATTTCAGTTTCATGCTTCATTGCATTAGCTAAAATGTTTTTTTTTATTTTATATATCTTTTACATTATTTTTCATTTTTGCACAATGTATGCATTTTCATCTTGGTTATAGTCCCCATACAATTCCCACCACGCCAGCCTCCCTTATTCTGACTCTAATCCCTCCTCCCCCATGCTCTGTAGTGTGTTTCTGGTTTATAGTTGCTTGTTGATTTTGATTTTTACTTTATTGTAATTAGTCTTTTTCCTGGTCCCTTATTTAGGTTTTCTAAATTCCTGCTATGAGTGAGACCATCCGGTATTTTTCTTTTTCTTTCTGGCTTATTTCCCTGAGCATGATCCCTTCCATGTTGCTGCAAATTGCATGAGTTTATCTTTTTTGATTGCTGAGTAATATTCCATTGTGTATATGTACCACATCTTCTTGACCCAGTCATCTATTTTTGGGCATTTGGGTTGTTTGCATAGCTTAGCTATTGTAAATAATGCTGATATAAACATAGGGGTGTCAGAGCAATAAGACAAGAGAAACACATTCCTATTTTCTTGTTCAGACACTCCTGGAAGCAAATCTGTGCTTACAAAAGTGGATAATTCTTGCTCAGAACAGGCTCTGAGCAAAGACAAAACAAGTAACACCGCAGAGGATGGGGTATGGACCCTGCTCTGATCAGTCCAGCACCATGCCAGCCTCCCTCCTCCCATGCTTTCTTTTCAGGCTTAGCCTTTGATTTGCCCCAGAAGGGCCAGCTTTAGCATTTTTCACAGAGGAGCTGCCTTGGGGGAAAGTAAGTTGTATAGTCAAAACCGGTTATGGGACCTGTCTGAATTTTGTTTTCTTATGCACCTGGGTGAAGGTGTCTCAGATCAATTTTTTTTTCTCTCCTTGTATTAACAAAATGTTATATTATCTAAAAATAGATGGCTAACATGGCCATAAGCAACTTCATGGTAATTAACCATTGTGTTGGGGCTTCTCAGTAATTTTTTTTTTTTGCATTAGACATGTGATTGAGACTTAAAAGTACCCCCACTGAGCATCTAGAAGATGAAAATTGCCATAAAGTTCTGAGGCCAAGGATACCTGAGTTCAGCATCTTCTGGTTAAACATCAATCATGTGAGCTACTGATCTGGAGGATACTAAGTTCCATGCTGACTCCAGATAGGATACATTTCAAAACCCTTTTCTACTATATGGTAAGTTGCAAATTAAAGACTTATCTCATTAAACATGAACAAAAAATAAACAAACATGGATACAAGGAGAAGGGTATTGTGATAACACATCATAGGTTGTATTTTAAAGTAAATTTTTCCTTGTCTGTTATTCCTTGTTATTGAACCAATATCAATGGGGATGGCCCCACATATTTGTTGGCATCTTAAATGCCCTGCTGGCAATTAATTTAAAAATACAGAAACCTTCATAAACATTTTTAAACAAAGCAAAGCAAAACAAAACAAAGCAAAACACACAAAATCCAAGCCCTCCTGTCTGTGCTAGAAAACCAATTAGGATTCCTGGTGAGACCGTGAGCACGAGCTGTGGGGAGAGTTCACCGCTCTTTCCGACACAGACCATACAGTGAGACAGAGTTGTGTGTCAGGAGTAGAGAAGATGAACCCACAAGTAACTGCAGACTGCCCTATCCTTCACCTTTGGAGAGCACTGGGCAGTGCTCTCCCTGGAAACTGGACCTTTGAAGGTTGGCAGAATGGCCCAGCTCATTGTGGAGGGCCGCAAGCTCCAGTGCCACTCCCTGCAGCTCTGGCAAGTTATGTGCCCAGGGCTTTTAGTAGAGTACTTCTGTGTGTCTGTGTGCAAGGAAGGTGGGGAACTGAAAAGAGAGGTGATTTGAAGGGGAAGAAGGATGAAAAGGGCAGGAGCCTGGAGCTCAATGGCTTTGGTAGAGAAATTCTTCTCCTGACTTAATCTTTAAGTGGAGAGAGTAAAATGTTCATCCAAAATCTGGCAGTGAAGAATGGGATCTAGCAGGGGCCAGGCCATCTTGGAGAGGCACAATCTGACACGTTTCTTCTGGGCACATTGTGGTTCTTTGGCTCGAACCTACACTTGCCAGCCTCCTTGGCAGCTGAGTGTGCTCATGTAACTCATTTTTAGTTAATAGAGAAAGAAGGGAAGGGAGAGGAGGGCTTGTAATTAATCTTCTTTAAAAGAAAGATGCAGCTTCTTTTCCTCCCTGTCTGCTTTCTGGAGCTGCATGTGTGTAGGCATAGGATAGAAGACAGGACCCTAGAGGATGTCAAAACATGTCTAACTTACCGCCCAATGCTACCTAGGGTACAAAGCTACTGCTGTGGAAGACATCACGAGAGATGGCAATCCTCAACCCCCTGACCTTCCCAAACATGAGTCTCTGAATGACACTGTGGAACAGAGTTATCTACCTGCCTTGGGCAGGTTTATAAGGAAGGAATACATTTATATTTTGCTGAAGCCTCTGTTTTTTGAAGCCTCTGTATTACAGCTATTAATCAATACCATAACTGATTCAGATGCCCAGGTCTGAGCAGAAACGATGTGCTAATTCAGAGCTTCCTTTTAAACGCACACATCCTTTTAAATGTTCAGTATTTTGTGACCTTTCATGTCCTTGTTTTTCTCTTTCCCAACTATGTCGCTCCTGTGTACAAGAATGGCTGTAAGGGGTCTTTGATCCACCTGGTCAGGAATGGGGTGCCGCTCACCTGTGTAGCACGTTGCTTCTGTCAGACTGGGATTCTACAGTCCCCTTCTTTAACCCTGACCATTTCCTCACCATAACATAATTTCCCTCTCATTTCCTGAAATCATATTTTTCAGAGAACATTTATTGAGTGTCTACTTTAGGTTGATCCATTTGTCTTAATTTTTCTAACTTTTTTAAGATGATGAGGAGGTACAGTATTTACACAAAGGAAATTGATTCAGAAACACCACCCCAAACAAGAATATAAAGGGGGTGTTGGGAAGGTATCATAAATATGTAAGTTCCTGCATATACTGAATTTAGGAGACAGAATACGCTGGTAAAGCACTGCTCACAGATTTTTCACTTCCTTCATTCAGAGGCTCCTTTGAATGGAGTTACTGAAGCTGCACTTGGGTATAATAATTGATCCTTGTGCTCTAATGCTATGCTGGAGCAGTAGGTGGAGGTCAGTTTTGATTCCTTCCTGCCATTTTCCTTTGCTTCTTTCTGTAACAACCCAGGGCATGACATAAAGTGATCAATGTGAGTGACAAAAGTCATCAAGTCTGAAAGGTTTGCAATTGGAAATAAGAAATTTTGTTCTTTATTTTCTTTTTTTCTTATTGCATTAAAAATAAGGTGCCTTTTCCATCCACTTTGTGTTCCATGGCTACATCAATGATAATGGTACTGTTCTTATTTTATATTTATTTATTCTCCTTACACAATATGTATTTTTCCCCAACTTATGAATCTGACTTTTTGAGATATCAAAAATTTTTTAAAAGACACTTAAGCCATCTAAAGAGATAAATTATCAGTCCAGTGCTACCTGGAATCACAAAGCTACTGCAACACTCTGTAGTCATCATGAGGGATGACAATCTGGCGCTCTTGACCTTTTCCAAAGTAGCAGACTCCTCTTGCCTCCCAACGGCAATTTTCAGCTCAAAACACATTTGCATTGTCCTCAGAGGCAAGCTGGGTATATCAAGATGGTCACATGGGACTAAGCACTTGCAGATGAATTTTAAATTAGGTAACAAATACCCATAAAAGTCATTTCAATGCTGGAAAAGGGGCAATGGACTTGGATTCCAATTCCAGTGCCTCTGGGTAATCTTGAGCAAAGTGCCAGTGTTTTCATCTATTAAGTGAGAGTCTTACATCCACTTTTCTAGGCTGTTGTGAGAATGATATCAATAAACATATAGTATATGCTCAGTAAACATATGCTGAAGTAGGTGGATAAACACAAGTCATGCCTCTGCCTGATCTGGTCTTCTCACCTTTGCTGCCTTCTAGTTCCTTCTTATGGCAGGCATGCTCCAGTCTTGGGTGGGTCAGTGCATTTCCCTCTGTGAGTTTTTCTTCCAGACACCTGCACAATGCCTTTCCTTACCTCCTTCAATCCTGTCCACATCATTTTTTACCTGAAGGAGTACAGATTTCACCTGTGCCTGAAATGTACAGTTCTCCTGAAAGGGATTCTCAAATCCCCCCATAAGCTCCCTCTAGTCAAAAGTACTCCCCACTGTGGCTTTAGGGATCCCCCTGACTAGACAGGATTTGGATTCATTGCTATGCACAAAGTGTTCTTTACATCAAGTATCCTCTGGTCAGATCCAATCACATGTCAGTGTAAACGACCACACACAACCCCTTTTGACAGGAGAAGTAGAATGAGATTCGCTTCTTAGAACAGCACATCCATTAACACGGTTACCAGATAATTCCTCAGAACCTTTCTGATTTGCATAAATACCTTCCAGTCAATTTCTATTTTTTTAAATTAAAATGAAAGTGGCAGCTGTGTGGCTGAGCCCTGGCCATGGTCTGGTGGCTCCACATTTATGTGAGCAATGACAGTTTGAATGCTAGACCATCAGAGCAGGAAAATATGAAAAAAACTCCATTATCAGCATTGGTCACTATTTGCTTGAACGTACTGAATAACCCTTATGTGCAGGGACAATAAACTCATTTAAATGGGTTATAGGAATTAAAGCTAATGCAAGATCATTCATGCTATCAATGACTCTAAATGTGCTCTCATTGGAAAGAATGATCAAAAAATGGAATTGCTGAAGTAGTTCACGTTGACAAGCCCGACTTGTTTGCCCCTCCTGGGTAGGTTTCTCTGCTGAGTAGGCACTTAGGGGGTTTTAAGAGTAAATATAAAGTCATCTTTTCCCTCAAGGACCTTACAGTCTACCCAGAAGATCATGACCACAATCTCATACAACCAGATTAATAGGATAAAGTGAGAGGAATTTACAAAGGAGTCCTCCGGATTTTGAAATAAAGAGATGACGATACTCTGGTTAGAAGCAAAAGCCATGGATGTTTGGAAGGGAAGATGGACATGGGAAACATGAGGAAATAGAGGGGAGAAATGGGAGCAGAATGAGTGGGATGTATTTCAAATCGTGGTTTGCATTTAAGAAACAGTGGGGACTAAACGTATCTACAAACACATATGAAGATGATGAATGAGTCACAGCAACGCCTAGCATTCCCTGGGCACCTACTATGTGACAGACTCTCTGCACTATCCTCTGTACAGAACAGAGCTTTTCAACCACGAGGCTATTGACCTGTGAGCTGGATCATTCTTTGTGGTGGGTGGACCTTCTGTGCACTGTTGGATGTTTAACAGCATCCCAGACCTTTACTCAGGAGGCCTGGTGTCTAGTAGACACCAGAAGCAACTGCCAGTTGTGACAACTGAAAAATGTCACCAAACATTGCCAAGTGACCCCGCTTGGTAGCAAAAGAATACTGTTTTATTCCATTTGCTACTTCTGAGAATTCTATGAGGCAGCATTCCTGGCCTCATTTTATTGCTGACGAAAAGAGACATATACAAGTTTAAAGTATGTTCTGGTAGACAGACTACTGGAAAGGTATGCTTGACCTCTGGGTTATATGCTACAAATATGTTACACACACACACACACACACACACATTTCACTATGCCATCTGTTGTTACACTTAGTTACAGAAATATTAAATTTTATGTAGTCAGTTGTATCAATTTTTCATCTTATAGTTTTGACTTTGGGTGACAGGTTTGAAGTCTGTTAATCATAAGCGTATAAAGAAGTTCACTTCTGATGGATTTCTTCCTGTTTTTATGATTTCCTTGAACACATTACTTGGTACCATCAAGAATTTATTTTGATGTGAGGATTTGCATATATACATATGCATGTCTTATGTGTGTATATATGATATTTGCTTCTTGTTAAAAAAAAATCAAAGAGAAAAAGGTAAGAGAAATTGGTATTCTCCTAATTCTATTCCTTAGAGATAGCAACACATTTTGGTAAATATGCAAGACATCTCTGTGACCATCATTCCCTCTTTTGGGCATCTATACAAAGAACATGAAACCATCAAATCAAAAAATTACATACTCGGGCCTCCCC